TAAAATTGGGAAACACTTTTACACAAAGACTGAGTCCCAAGTTTTATTTCATACAAAATAAAAGCCTACCTTGCAGTGGTTTATGAAAAGGAAATAGAAGCAAGAGATACCATACAGAAACATAGAAATAATTCATCTAGAGTCAATATGGACCATATACTTTAGAGGAAAGCCTGAAACTATTTATTGGTATGGAAAAGTATAATGTGACAGAAATCCACCCTTCTTAGCTCATCTGATAATTCCTTTATTCCCAAACAGGCAGTGTTTAATAGTCTCTTGTAACTCTAATCTCAGTTACTATTTTTTAACTAGATGTTTGCTGGGGGGGAGGGGTTGGTGTTGGTTTTTTCTTATAAATATTTATTTTGTTGCTATTGGATCTTATTTTACTCATCATTAAATGCCAAATGTTTAATCTGTTGTGTTTAAGATTTGCTTTTAGGTAAAGAATAAGTGAAAACATCTGACATACATATCTTCGACTTTGTTTTACTTCATATGTGTCATTACCTTTCTCAAATTAAGGTAGAACACCTTATGGCCCATAAAGTGGAATTCTATCAGCTTTAGGAAGATTCTGCACAGTGACAATATTTTACAAATGCATACACTGGAAATCGCAATCACTCTGTGCTTTGCCTTGTAAAACCTGTATCTTTAAAACAGACAAGACAGCAAAACAAGCTCAAGCACCTTAATCCCTCACTCTCAAATATTTCTGGGCTCAAAACAAATCAAGGCAGCTCACCCTCACTTTAGTCATACCCAGATGTTACTTGTTTCACTGTAGCTGAAGACTGCAGAAAGAAATCACCTACCCATACTAACCTGTAAGTCAAGCAGAACGCAAAGCAAGAACCTCTGACAGTTCAAAATTTGCCTACAAGTTTGCCTGACACTCCATCATCCCAATGGCTGGTTGCCCCAGTCTGACTTTTCTCATGCTCTACTGTACGCATGTCCCTCTTCTCTTGTTTTTCCCCAATTTATCCTTTCCTAAGTAATCTCTCCTCCCCTAAGTCCCAACAGAACACAAAGAATGTGTTTCAATGCCATTGTGCTCCTTACAGGGTACTGCTCTTCCCCACAGTGAATCTGTCTACTTGATCCTAAATTCTGTTAGAGTCTCTATGCTATTCTGCATTTATATAATGCCAAATAAAACAATAAATCAATAAATAATTCCAATTTTGAATGGTTTTCTAACACACAAAAGGAAATAATATAACAAATCTGAGTGTATTTGCCTTGTGATTTTTAAACTGGGTTTACTTACCTCATGACAATGACTGGATCTTTTTTCTTTTCTGATTTTACTCAAATTCTGAATTATCTCATCTTGTTTAACTGAAGCACAAAATAAAGGAGTCATTCTTAGCCACTTCCACATGGTCAAGCAGATCCCTGGTTGAGTTCTACAAATCTGAAAAAGACATTAATTTCATTTAGCTTTCTAGGTAGTAGAACAAAAAATCAACAAAACTTAATAGCAGACTAAGTAGTAAATCCTTTGCAGTTGTTTTCAACCTAGGTGGCTGGTGGAACATAATTTTCTAATTTTCTGTTTAATTCCTTGACTAAATACTTAAAATTATAGGCCAACATAAAAGTTGAGGCTATGCTTCTTTTTTCCTTCTATTTGTTTTTACCAGTAAAAGCAGCCATGAAAATAAGAATAGCTATGTTTGCTAAGTTTGTTTGATAGGACAACTAAAATGACACAGTGGGCCCCATATGTGGAAGGGGTCCCATATATAACACAGAAACTGTGGGGTCAAAGAGATCAAAAAAGCCTTGGGCCCTCAAACCTTCGGTTTTAAAAAACATGGGCAAGCTTAAATAACACAGACAAGAATTATAAGAATTATAAACCAGACAGGAAAGTAGTGCCCAGAAAAATAGGTGAGTTGTCCTTATGTAGGTCCATCCAGTTATATCAGTTCCCAAATATTAGATAATCTAATTTCTGAAGAGATACATGACAAAACTAAGTGTAAGTAATGGAAGTACAAGGTTTCACTGGTCTCTTTTTATACAAATGAACACTGCTTTAAGAAAAAGAGTTGATTTACTTTCCAAAGACAGAGTTCAGTGCATTAGAGATTTATTTAAAAATTGTATCATACACATAGTAATTAAAAGGGGACAATTCACTACCTTAACATGATGCACAGCATCAACTGCCAGAGGAGGAAAAACAGAACCTGACCACATGGTTTTAAACATTAAAATTGTGGTCTGCAACTCTTGTCCTGTTTTTCTTGCCTCCTATACACAATGCTTTACTGCAAAAGTAGGTTCAAGCCTTTTGTCAATTGAACTAATCAGTTTAGACAACTGTGATCACCTCCTGAGCATACAACATATGTCTATACTAAAAATTTAAACTAGTATCTATAGAAGACCAGAAGTCACTTAATATCTCTTGAAGCATGCAATTGAACACTAGTTCAATATTACTATAAATTATTATACTTGATTTTCTCATTGTATCTTAAGGTCTAAATCTTCAAGCTTTACAGACAGCAAACATGCCTCAAGATTAATTTTGCTAAGATAGTGTAATTGCTAGATTAATTATGAATCTTAAATTTAATTAATGTATTGAATCTTATTTTAAAGAAAGCGTGCATCTATGTAAGCAAGTAACAAATCATAGAAGTTATCTGCTCCTAAATTGCTTTAGTTTTGTTTCAAAAGAAGAGCTCAATGTTACTTTTTTGGAACTTAAGCAAGTATGAGAGCTGAAATTTATGCTGAAAGTGTTGATGGGGTCGCAACCACGACGAGAAAAACTTATCTACCCAGTTGCAGATAAGCAGGCACTTCTTTATTCACAGCGCTGGGGAGGCACAGTGGGTAGCTCCTCTAATTGTGCTTCAACACCCATACATTTTCACAGCCTATTTATACATTTTTAACAAAGCGAAATCATAGGAGCATGCATAAAATGATCACCTTTTACTCTGCCCCTCACCTTGATTGGTTCCCCACTATCACGCCACATAAGACATTGGATTACCCCTATAATTTTGACATAAAGAAAAAAGAAAGGTTACGGCCTATTCTTATGGTGGTCTGACCACAGCTATTATCCCTCATGCTATTATCTAATTCTTCTCTCAAGCATGCCTTCTCTAAGTGCTTATACAAACATATCTTGCAGTCTTTTTCTTAGTTTCTTAGTTTTTTTTCTTAGTTTAAACAAATACCTATTATAACTACATAATCATCAACCCACTTTAACTACCTTGATCGGTCAAAATGTTCTTTTAGCTCTACTGCTGAAACAAATACCTACTTTAATAGGCCAAAATTTTCTCGTGACTATAACAAAAGTACAATTTTCTAGAAAGCTACAAATGCAAAAGCTATACACATACAGAACAGTTCTTAGAGCTCTTCACTAGGGATCTTCTAGAAAACCATAATCCCAGACAATAAAAATCTAAGCTAGCTTGCTCACTCCAATATGGTACAAAAAGAATGATAGAAATTGTATCAGATTAGTACGTTCTGGGTTACAACATTACATTCAAGTTCCGGTTTCTTGATTTCCATTCCTATTCAGCACTACTTGCCATTTTCTCAGTGCATTTCAGGAAGAAATGAAATTGTTTTGAATCAGTTAATTCTGTCAGGATTATATTTGTAGCTTTAAAAAAAAGGAGAAACAGCAATTATGCTAAAATATTATTAAATTCTTTCAATTTTAGTTTCTTTCTAATGAAAAAAAACAGCCATGATTTGTAAACAACTTACTACAAGTATTTTAATTTTAATTCCTCTTCTCAGCTGAAAAAAAGAACACGCATGGCAGTTGCTTCCCAAATGAATGTCTCCAACAGCACTGGTGCTCTGTAGCAGTGCTTAATTTTGAACATAAAATACAGTTTCTGAATATACTAGCCTGAAATTCAAAATATGGAAAGAGTATGAGCAGAGCTAAACTCAACAACCAAGCAGAACATTTAACAGAAAGCAAATTCAGGCATACCAAAAAAATAGTTTTGGTGAGTATTAAATGTTTAATAACCAACAGGTAGCAAGACTACTTTACAGCTGAACTGAAATTCAGGTCCTATTTGACAGCTGGACCCAGGCAGAGCCTCACTTCACTTGGGGCCAGCTGAGGCCACACTCAGGACAGGTGGGGAGACAGCCAGTTGCCAGATAGGACCTAGTACTTATTTTCTCTTCCAACACTGTTCTCTGAGATACCATGGCACCCTCTGACCTTCACCTTTCCCTCCTTTGACATTTTTTGATAAATTGGTATGGTTTTCCTCATGAATTCAAGCTAGAGGCAGCAGATAGCCAAATGTCCACATTTTTAGGACTTCAAGCACTCTGCATCCCTATTTTCTCAATTTTAATTGGGGGGGGGGAACTGTTTCTCAATTTCCCGCTTTTTTAGCCTCGGATGAGGGAGCATGGCTCAACCCTAGAAGGGGATGATGAAGAGCTACTTCCCACCACCTAAGCAAGCTGCCATCCCGCGACCTGTGAGGAGAGCAACCACCCAACATGCCTCATATCACAGGCTTTACGAGATCAGAGCTACCTGGCCACCACCGGAGCTGGGGCAAGCTCAGCCTCCACAGAAGCCAGGCCCCATCGAAGCGAAGTTACCCACTCCACTAAGCTTTTACTGGCCGGAAGCCCACTGAGGTCTGCGGCGCCCTTCTGAGCAAACCCCACCCACCCGCATACGGGATTGGCAGGCACCAGTGTCACTCATATCGGACCCGTTTCCAGCTCTAAGAACTCAACTGCCCCCTCATTAGGAACGGCTCTTCCAGACCGCCTAACGATTAGTTACCAGCCCTGCTAATCATAGCACTCTTAAGTTTGACTGGTCGAAACTCGGAAGGGGGTGGGCCCTTTGGGCCGTCGGTGTTTACTGTACGTGCGGTGAAGGCTGGTGAGGTGTTGAGGGGGAGGTGTCGTGTTACTTCCCTCAGTGGGGCTGTCCAGACCTGGGAGCTGTCATCCCCATGGGGCTCCGCAGGAAAAGCAAGAGTCCGGCAGCACTAAGCCACAAGTTCGTCAGTCAGAATCATACAGATACTGCTTCCTACCTAGTAATGGGCTTCCTACTTGGGGCTCCCATTTGAGGTACTGGGTGGGGTGAGGGGGTTGGTGGTTGCCGAGTCGAGCAGCATCTGGTCTGCTGTGGGGCAGCCGCTGCGCCCTTGGCTTCCCGCTCTGGAGTTTCCCCAGTACATCTCTCCCGTTTGCTTCAACCCTCTCCTCTGCACGTCTCGGCTGTCTTGGAGTGCTGCAAGTTTCACTTCTCTGTGCTCTGCCACACCTCACACGCTTCCCAGTGTGCTTCCCAGCTCCCGCTTTCACTATGTATTCCTCCCGCCACTTACTCTCTTCTGTCAGATTGCTGCTCTTTTCTCTGGTTTTCCTTCATCTCTGTATGTTTCATCTCCCATAAGCTCCCTTTTATTCAGTTCCAGTCTGCTGAGTTATAGAGCTCCTCAAGCCACCTTGCTTAGAGCTGAGTCAGTTTATGTCTGTTGTGTCCGTACTTCTTTTCCCTTCTTTGTTTAAAAGTTCACGTGGTAAAGCAGGTAGAAACACTATTATATAAAAGGTTTCAGACAGTTTCTCTTGTTTAGAGCATGCTTGACCCTTTTGCACTGCTGTTCAGTCTGTTGCTGTTGTTGGCTCAGCTCCCCTAGCAATGGGTAATTTGAAGAAAAATGTGGGATTAGACAGTGTCGGCCTAACTTCTGAATTTTTTTTTCCTTTGCATTTGAAAGTTTATTTCCATGTGCAGGCTTGGGGTGATGGATTAGGCGTCTCTTTGTAGGCATCTTTTTCCCACTTCTGCGACAAAAGCTTTGTGTGTGTGTGTTACTACATTAATAATTTATGTTTGTATTAAGTATGGCATAAGGCTTGATAAATAGAGTTTAAGTTCTAGATAGACAACTATAATACTTTACTGAAATACTTTACTGAAATATTTCAACATTTTCCATCAGTTGGATAAAATTGAAAATCAGATAATTTTAAGTTAGAAGTACTGTAGATGTTCTGTAATTTTTTAATGTATCTTTATATATCTATATCTCGACTCACTCCAAGAATATTTATAGTCTTTTATGTGCCCGATCCTGCTCCTTTCCTTGACAACAGAGTGGGCCTTGTCTCCTAAAACCTTTCTCGGAGAGTATCATGATTTCTTTCCTCCTAAAACAATTTACATCAACATTGTATCTGTGGCTATCTTTGCCACAGAGTACCACTTAATGGGGCTCCCATTCTTCCAGCAAAGTGAAACACTTCTAGTATTCTGTTGTGTGCTTCACAGATAAACAGAAAAGCAAACTTGCTAGGCTCTAGCAAAGGTTCTTACCACCCTCTGCTTCCGAAGAGCACTGAAAAATGCTTATTCTCAGGAAAGCTTTGTAACGAAAGACTCTGCTTGAATTTACAGGGTGCTGTCTGAATGCCCTTCTATGTGGGAGACTGTTGCTGTGAGTCCTGAGCGATGACTTGCTGAAAGCAAACATGTTTGGTTTAGTTAGGTGCTGAAGACATCAATACTGTCGCAGTCGGGATGGACAAAGCGACAAGACAAGAAGTGTTGGCGTAGCACAAAAAGCCTGTATCTTCATTACTTTTCTTCCTCATCTATTTATACTCTCTCCCCAGATGTGTCGTCTTCTCATTGGTTCAAAGTTACTAAAAAAGTAACAATGACAAAGTTACTGTGTCACAACTCAGCACTTCCGCCAAAGGAACACATACACCTCAGTCTGCTGTCAGCACTTTCCACAAACTTGTATACCTTGTGGCTCTTGTTCCTGTTTATTCTCTCAGGGGTAGACTGGAATTTTCTTAAGGTCAAAGTCACTCTGTCCAAGGGCCTCAGTCCAGCTGAGGTCCCCCACACAATACCTATGTAACTATCTATATTTTCCCTGTCTTTCCAGGAGCAGTAGGCAATGGATTTTTCACATGCTTACTCCATGAACATTTTCAGTTGGTATTGATGCTCTGGCTGCTTATTCTCCCCATCAAGCACAAAATAACTTCTGTAGCTGAGCAGTGCAGCATATTAGGAAATTCATCTGTGTTAAGATTAATAGGCTTTTCTCCTCCCTCTTGTTTTCTGTGTCAGTTTTAACTTGTATATTTTCCTGTCCAGTTCACCGCTGCTTTTAATGGCTCAAGTGTGGGACAGAGACAAGAAGCAACTGGAGAAAGGCAGGATTGCTCCTTTTGATGGTAGTGCTGGCTTGCAAAATGTTAAATTGTTCATAGAACTGCAGTGTCTAAAAGTAAATTTTGTATGCCAGAAAAATTGATACTTTCATTTTCCTTAATGAGAATTCCTTTTAAAAGCACTCTTCAGTATTATGACTCCTCTACTGCTTAATTTCACAGGTGCACTCCCAGTGAACTGATTTGCCTTCTCCTTCCTCTTTTTGCTACAGAGGATCTTTATTTGCATTGTTCTGCCTCTTGTTTACTTTGTAGCTAGATAAATTAATGTTTGTTTTATATACTCCTGAATGTTCTTAGCTAACACTTTCAGAAATGAGATGGTGTAACATCTGAGGAAAATAGCTTTCTTTATTATTAGCTTATATGTATTTTTTAAAGCCATATCTATGAAGATCAGTTTAAGAGGAAGTGTAAAAGACACAAGAAATTTTTTCACATCAGTTTTCGGATTATGCCTGTTGTACTTCTCTGATTTATGCTAGATAACTGAGTGCTTGCAAACATAATAAATGTATTTGCTATTGGCAGTGTAGGATGTAAATTCATATAGCTTTTTTTTTTTTTTTCAGAAAAGGAACCAGTTGTTTTGGGTTTTTTTTTCTCTTCCACTTATATTCCTGTGTTATAGCTTACCACTTTTTCAGCTAGATCAGCACAACTGTTCATTTTTGAAGTTGTGCAAAGCAGATAATTAAATGCTTTGAACTCAACTAAACAAATGTATTTACCTCTCATCACTTGGTTGTAGAGTCATAAATTATTCACATTATAACAGATCTATTGTTACAGCTAAGGAATGAGAAGACATTTTGAAGAGGCAGGGATGGCTGGAAGTGTTGGGGGTTTTTGTTTCATTGTCTTAAAGCCAGTTTTGGCACTGAAGAAAAAGTAACATAAAATTATACCATTTTTGGTTACTTTGATTGTACTGTAATTTTTAGAAAATGCTCAATTTATCATACAAGAAATTGATGAATCTTATAATTCTACTATGCTGTTTTGAATACTGTATTTGTTTACATGGACAGTTAACCAGAACATCGCTTTTTTAAATATGTTGCAAAGTTAGGCAGAACTTTCTATCTAATTTAATTTAGAGATTAATTTAGAATTAATTTAGATTAATTAATTTAGATTTTTTTTGAAATAAATGAAAGCCATTTATGCTTCTAAAGACTTTAAAATGTTATTTAGTAGAACAATGAGTAATTTGATCTTTAGGTAAAGGGACATAGTTCAAGTCCTGACCTTATGCAGCAAACGTTAAGGGATTTGCAACAGAGTAAACCTCCACATTTGTGAGAGTTGAATAATACTTTCGGGACCCCTTTGATTTAGTTTTGGGTGTTTATAATCTAGCTTGTTTGAAAAATCCGCTACTTTTTCCTTGTTTCTTTTTGAATTTCAGGTCCCAGCCAAGTATGCGATCATCTTTATTGCTGTGCAGTACAATGTCACCTATACCACTGGTGAGATTAAACCAAATTTGTATGTTTTTTCTTGTAATGTGAGAACTCAGCTATTAAAAATTACTCCTTTTTTTGCCCACCTCAAGACTTTGGTTCACTTCACTTTTATAATATAGTAGAACTCCTCCTATATCTCTCTGTCTGCTTTTGTTTACTAATACTATACTGAAACATTCTAGTGTTCTCTCTATTGCTTCTGAATAATGTTGCATTATTTTTCCCATAGTTAACACTGCTACTAACTTGCATTTTAATGTGAAAAGCATGCATCCTTACCAGTTTTTGATACAATCAAAAGGATTTATCAAGTAACAAAATGTTTTGGTAATCTTCAATGTATCTGTTGCTTATTCATGATTTCTTACCTCAGTAGTAATGGATTTGGTTTTTATATTTCAAAAATATCACAGTATTATTATTATCAAGTAACTGATGTTCCTGATTCAATCATGCTTTTAAATTACAAAGGGAGAAAGTACTGATTCATTTTTTCCCAAAAAAATGTTTCCCTTTTTTTGATCTTTTGGATCTGCTGTACTATATACAAGAGTGGTAAGCAACTAGTGACATTTCCCTGTTTGAAACTTAGTATTTCTTAATAGTGTTGATAACTTCCAATTCTTTCCAGGAATTAGTCTGCACTGCTCTCAATGGAGCGTTCTAGGCTTGTAACTATATCACTGTATTGAAGAAAAAGAATATCCAAGTTATCTAATAGGGCATAAAAAGTAATTTTCAAATACTTAAAACTTATAACTAGTATCCTCTATCAATTTAACATAACTTCCAAGAACAATGGTCACTGCTGCTCTTTCTCAGTTGCACAGAGTACTCCTTCATAAGAATGTAAAATTATTTTTTTTTTAGATTACAACAGTGAGCAATTTCATTTCTATGACTGTGCTCCAGAAGACACTGCCGCAATCTTCTTCTACATGCTTGTAGCTATTAATCTGCATGCTGTAATCCAGGAGTACATATTAGATGTAAGTTTATTACTGATATTAATTTACTTATATAAACATGTTATTTTTAGCTATCAGTTGCTAAGTTTTTTTTTCACAGTAAGTGTAAGCCGTGGTACAAGGAATGGTTTACCGTTCAGAAGCCCTGTTATGGTCGAGCCATTGTTCTCTGATAAAAATGCAAATAGACCTCAGTTTAGTGGTGGACTTCATAGTGTTACCTTAACAGTTGGACTCAGTGATCTTAAGACTCTTTTCCAACCTAAATGAGTCTATGATTCTATTATATTTTTATAGTGATATTTCCTCAATTTATTAATGGTATAAACTACCGAATTTTTATTTTGAGCAATATAGCTTTTATTTTTCTGTAAATGCAGACATTAAATGTTCATGCCCCACTCAAAATATCTGTGAATGAGATCTGCTGCATTAGATTCATAAGATATATTCAGAAAATCAAAAAAGGAAAATTGCTGCAGTGGTGGATTTCTGTTTGTCAGCTGAGCTTCATTTCAAAGAGGGAGCTCAAACTTCACTGTGTGCTCTTTTATACCAGCTCAGTTGCAAAGTAAAATGAATTTGTTAAAAGCTGTTGTGAAGACCATCTATTATTGAATGGTCTTAGAATGTCTTCACAAATAGTCCATCTGAGCCACAGAAGCTCAAATGGTTTTTAACGGTGCAAAGAGATTTGAAAAATTTAGCAGTATGTCTGATTATGGGGAAGAAATATCTGAATATTTTCTATATTAACTTTATCATAGTGGCAAGTCTTATTGAAGCTAATTGTCATACAAAGTGGTGATTGAGATCTTAAACAGTGGGAGCTATGTATTTTAATTGAAGAATATGAGATTTGGGAAGAAAGAAAAAAAATAGGAAAAAAAATTCAGGAATGAGACTAGCACCCAAGTAGCTTTCTTGTTTATCGATCTTTTTGTTTCTAGAAAATCAACAGAAGTCTGCATGTTTCAAAAACAAAACACAGCAAATCCGATGAATCGGGACAGCTAGCATTTTTCTACTACTGTTCTACTGTTTTCATTTATATGGGGAGCAAGTGTTTTGAATGCTGTAAGTCACTCACTCCATTTGCTGGTTTTATTTAAAAAATATACTTAAACTACTGAGAAGGTCCTTAAATCTATGGCCTTTTTCATTAGAAAGAATTCATGATGAACCCAACCTCACTCTGGAAAGATTGTCCCCATTCTTGTATGCAGTAAGTCCTCTATTATAAATTTGAAAAAATCTGGTTGTTCTAGTCACTGCATATTTAACTACCTCACATTTTAAGGAACCACTAATAAAGTAGTGGCATTGGTACCTTAAAAGAATACAACTAGATGAAAATACTGTATTCTGTTTGGAAACTGCCAGCAGTTTTATTATCCAAAGGTAGTTTTTGATGAATTGAACATCTATCAAGAGACAGATATATATGTTCTTACTTTTCTTTACCTAACCATGGTAGCTGAGTTAAAGTGAAAGTGTTTGCGAGATGGAATAAATAGTGGGACTGCTGAACTGGTTCACGTTAAAAACCCATGTTTGTCAGAGGCCGAATTTTCAAATTAGAAGGGATTTATAGCTTGATCCTATTATTTCATTTTTTACTTACAGAATTGTGTTGTTTGTGTGGGCCCATCCTCCTGCTCCCTGTTTTTCTTTGGCAAGTGTGATAGAGGAAAGGGGGATAATATGCATTTTCTACTCTCACAGGACAAACTGTTCCTGTGTGTTAGGATTTTTGTTGTTTTTTCTTTCCCAGCATCTCCAAAGGTAATTCAGAACTTACTGGTGTGGGATGAACCTGAATCAAGATGATTATGAATGCTCATTCAAAAACCTGTCACCACAGAGTTGTTTTGTCTTTACAGTTCCTGTGACTTAGGAATCATGAACTATAAGGAGTCAGAATAAATTAATTTGAGATAATGAAATAAAGTCTTGTATCTCATGTTAAGAGGTGAAAACTCATCATCTTTTTTTTCCTTAATCTGGATTATTGTTTAGTTTTCAGGTAAAATTCTTCTATATTTGCCAGATAGCCTGTTGGCTTCATGCACTGCTGAAGCTATACTTCCAAAAGATCCGAAAGGTATGGAGAGAAGTTGTCAGTACAGTTAACTAAGTAGCTATTATTTCCAATTATTAATATTAATAGTCCATATTAATTATATAAATACATACATAGTCATAACTGTATGTTCAGTTATTTATGTACTATTTATATATTTTAATTGCTTGTGTTGCCCATCTATTGTGTTGGCCAAAAAGTAATTGCCTTTTTTTTTT